CTTGATTCGATTATAAACGAGAATTGTAAACTGCAAAAATTGCGTGGGAGGCCAATTTTTCAGTAGACTGATCACAAAAAATTATGAATCGTTAACACTTGGGAGTTGGATAGAGCTTTTTTTGCGTGGAACACAAGAGCTCTCTGGAAAATTGAAATATAGCGTATAATCAAGGTTCCTTTGAGCCCTTTGTCGCGTAGAATGCCCACCAGAGTTCCGTCCAACTTTATGGTGGTGGTATGGGGTATCGGAAATCGACGCATCGATCTTGAAGGGCGGACGAACTGGGCGGGGAAATTGTGGGTCAACGGTTCGGGTCATACCCGACGCGTCAGCGCTTTAGCTTCGTTAATGACGTCATTTACCTGTCTCAGCGTCAGATAAGAAAGGTGAACAGATAAAGAATCAGGAAGAGAACGACTGGATGAAAAAATTTACGACCGTACGAAGGAATACACGTTTGGCAAAAAAAAAAATCATAAGAATCATCAAAATCAATCGTTGAACGAAAAGAAATTCCCATAACTCGTTGCAACAGCATTTAGTTAATTGCGGCAGTGAAATGCAAGTTAAAATCTAAGGGAATCAAAACGTGAATAATATAAATGAATTCCGCTTAAAGGTATTTAAATTTTGGACCAGTGCTTTGGCGGATATTATTCGTGCGGAACAAGCAGTAACACGTGCAAATTAATTTACATAAAATTAACTTTAAAATTAAGAGTCTGATTACACCGCGTGGGTTTACGAACGAGAGCGGTTAATTCTCTCGCGTATCATTTGCACTATTCATTTTGTTCCGTTTACAACAATGCTTTCTCGAAATTACATATCGGGAAACGTAGTACAGAAAGTATCCAACGAGCCGCACTATCGTTACAGACAGATTCCTCTTATGATGAAGAAGTGGTCGAAGTTGAAGAAAATATTATCAATGACAATACAACGTTCCATAAAAGTAGAAGACTACGATATAATCTTCGACTTGTACGACAAATAATTAGGCATGAACGTTCATGAACAGTAGTGGAACGGTCCGAGTTGTAATCTCGATGGGCCGCGTTCTCTGCCGATTCTTAACGAAGCCGGGAGTCTATAGGAATAAAGACACAGAGGACCGGAACCAGGTAAAACTGGCGAATCGTAGAAGGTCAAATTATCTTTCGACGACTGCCGTTTACATCGTACGGGCGGCTTCTATACCCTGCCAGTTCATATCGTAGCCAGTGAGGGAGTAGAGAAGGTACAGGCTGGAGGTTCCCGCACACAGAGAGTCCGTAGGACCATAGCCGGCTATAGCTTGCCTCTGCAGTTCGCCGGCTATTTCCCATTTGGCAGGCGAGCCAGACCCAGCACTTTTGGTGCCAACCGATAATTGGACGAATCGCAGTCATTCGCTTCACGCGAACTGCTCCCTTCTCTCTTTATCTCGTTCCTGTCCCATGGGCATCTCTCTCCCACGAGCTATCCTTCTTTCCTCGTCCCTCCTCGTACTTTTACGCGCCGCGTCCTATCGTTTCGTTTCTTTATCGTTTTCTCTTTGTTTTTTATCCTTTGCCCACGGAGCGACGTGTTCCTTCGGCTGGCACCCACGCCCGCCCTACGTTTACCACCGCGTTGATCATCCTATTCTTCGTCTACGTCTATCAAAAGAGCCATTCCTTCCCAATTCCACCGTATCCTAGCACCCGTGTAATGGAAGTCCATTCGGCACCGAAATTATCACGTTCTAACCGTGAGGAAGATCATGCTAAGTGCGATAGTAAATACAAATTTGTATGTGTGAGATATTGAAAGTCGGGCCAAGGAAAAGGGACTCGTTGATTTCTCGAAATTTGCTCTTGAACAGGCTCGAGCACGTACCCGCTCAAACCTTGGATTTGCATTAGAGGGAATCACAAATTCACAGAGTATTAACCTCACCCTCAGAGGCGATGGGGCATAGTCGCAGGGGATACAAAGAGCGCGTAGGATAGACGGGGTAATGAAAGTGGCGTGGGTACGAGAAATATGCACTATCTGTAAGATCCGAGCTATTTGCGCAAAGCGGCCTAACTCTACTTCCTATCCCCGACTTCCCATCCGCTCGCCCTCTTCTTCGATTCGACATAACCGCCTACATTTAGGCGATCCGGAGGGTAATACATTGTTTGCTCTTCGTTCGTTAAACTAAACCGCATTCAGAATTAATTACACGTTAGGAGGCCACCGGATAATTAAAGCTGCCCCCATTACCCTCTCCTACCCGTGCCTAACGTTACCCTATGCGTTACTATCGGTCGTCTTCTTTGGGATCAATTATTGCAATAAACCGTCCTAATTGGTTCCACCGAGGAATCACGAACTTACTATTTCGTGTGATGTTTGTATAACAATTTCAACACAAGTTGTTAATTAATATTGCGAACTTAAATAAACGCACCATAAAATGGACGCTTCGAAACATTTATTCGGTAATCAATTTCGCATCATGTATCAAAGTCGAAAGTCGAAGTATGTACTTGTCTCGGGTATTAAATAAATCGACTAACGGAATCCGTTTAAATAAAAAGTATCAGGATTTAATTGAAAATCACCTGTTCGAAAAGAAATGGGAAACGATAAAAATAATTCAGACGGTGTTCGAGAACTGTCAATTGTTAGTTGAGTTATTTTTAACGGGAGTGAAGAGCGATGAAAAGCGTCGATGATTAACGAACTTTTTTTCGAACGGACGTATATACGTATATACGCGTGGCGGTCGACCAAAGGTATTCGAAGGGGTGAGTAAATCGGTTCCCTCGATAATCTATAGGTTTTTTTCTTTGGCGCGGAAGAGAGACCGGCAAGGAGTCATTGTTTCTTCGCGTACGACTAGCTTGATTGTGTTAATGAAAAATGGGGAAGAAGTAAAGCCGAACCAATGGGTTCTACGTCGAAGGGTGCTGGCAATGTTGGCTCCGCGGAAGAATGGCAGGGTGAGGCGGGAATTGAACGTGATCCAAAAGCGCTTATAAATGAATAACACCCATAAAGGATAAGATATCGGAGGATTATACCCATTATCATATATCTGCGAGGCAGTACTTTTTTCGCAGAGTCCCGTCATTGATATCTATATTTCTTTCTGTCTATGAGGATTATCGATCGTAAATATGTTTCGGATGTCAATGGTTTTACCGCGTACGTGCGCTGAATGTAAGCTCGATCCGGCGCGCCGGTACATGCACGTATATACGTTCGGTGGTAAATAAACGGAAAAACGTGACATTTGCACGGGACAAAATAAACCAAAGGCGGCGTAGTTTTAAATTATCAGATAAAATAAATATTAGTTTATGAAGAAATGCGAATTTGAACTGTGGCATACGAACTTTCACATTTCACTCATTAAAACAGTAAACCGAAAGGATCACCCGATCCTTTGTTACGTTTCATCTATCAAAATTAAAAAACCAAAGATTCATGCGGTTTATTAAACCGCAGCTGCTGCGCATATATCTTTTTAGAGAAACACGAGCATGAAACGAATATGACGAAAAAAGCTGAACTGGATATAATAAACAAATATGCCACAGTGGAAACAGTGAACGAAACTGATAACCATAAAGCTATGTTTGCGAAAATGCATGTATAAATAGAACCAGTCGCCCGTATCGTTTTGGACTTTTCGTCCTGCGACCTGGTTGAATAATCAAAGGAATTAAAAAGCATGTGACTCACCGCAACGCCTCGGAGATCCCGGAGATCCCGGATGGAGGGCCTCACGAACTGTGATTAATACTGAAACTAACCATTTAAAAAATTTATGTAGATTATTCTTAAAATGAAAAAATTATTAAAAAGCACTAAAGATACTTACATGGCTATCGTTTGAAACAATGGTAATCTTTCCTTCAAAGGCACTGACTCTAATACCGAAAATACCGAAGACAACCACGCGACCGAATAAATCATAATCGACGAACAAGCACTGACTCTAATTTCGCGGATCAACATTATAAACGAATATACAAAACGTCTGTTCGAACTAATACGCGCATTAAACACTGATTTTACATAACCGTGTCGAACGCAGTTACGAAGAAGTCCAGCTGAAAATATACAAAAGAATAGTATTAAACATATAGAACAATCGTGGACGAACTGAATTCATTGCGTAGTATCAATCGTAATACATGGAGAAATTCGCGAAGGAATATGCAACAAGTACGTAATAATGTGCCTGTGAAGATTTTTAATAACCTCGTAATCGATATCGTAATAATAGAATATGGGCGCGAATATAATTAGGGAAACTTACATCGTAACTGCGTAGTTGATGAGGACACATCGCAGAAGGTGAAACACGTCTGATCATTACGCCGCGCCGATGAACAATAACATACAGGACACTAGCCCTTACGGGCTCCGAATTTTCTCGACCTTGAGTATATTGTCTTCTCCCACCCCCTCCTACCACTCAGCGGAGTGGGCAAAAAAATGAACACCTGCGATTAGAAGAACGCAATTTGATTAACACGCCGGCAAATAACAAAACACAGATTGTTCGATGTTTTGTTTTATGCATTCGATGAAATGTACTTTTTAAACGATTCTTTACAGATTTTGAAGTCAACTAAATATATTTAATAAAGATTATGTCAATATTATTCAATATATCGGAATATTAGAAGTTACAAGTTTGTACTTGAAGTTCTAAGAACTATAGGATTGATAAATTGTGAGAATTTCATTCACGAATGATTGAAATTACATATAATACGTAACTAGCGTTCTTATTTCTACTTACTGATCGAATCCGGACGATATAACACAATTAGAACAATAAATAAAATGATTTTCGGCGGGGCAATTAACACTTGTTCGACTACGACACGACTGAACTTAGCTACAAAGCTGATTCAAATCGCACTTGTTGAAGGCGTAGCAAAATCCCTATCTGTCTTCTACAACCCTGGAACGCGGTGATATTTGAAACACTAGGAAACTGTTGGCTACGCTGACTGATAAAAAAGGATAGTACTTCTCGCGGTACGCGACGTACACAGAAATTTCGTTCTATCATGTCACTGATTTGTATTAAACATGTAACGGTAGGAAAGGTAAGGATACCTTCTAAAAAGTAACATATTGTTTTCTCCCGGCATTGACATGATGGATATATTAAAATCTCTTGTAGGAAGGAAAGATCATTCTATTTTAAGCACATCCGGTAAAGGCAGATTACCCTCAGGGGTGGGGTCTCCTGTCAATTTAAGCCAAAGAAGCGAACGAGTTATGTTAACTTCGTGAGAAAACCAAACTGATACAATACAATCATGGCACGACCGATTGTACCCAGTCAACAGAAGTTGGCTGAGAAGCTGACTATTTTGAATGACAGAGGTATTGGAATGTTAACTCGCATTTACAATATAAAGAAAGCATGCGGTGATGCAAAATCAAAGCCTGGCTTCCTTTCTGATAAAAGTTTAGAGTCTTCTATAAAGACAATTGTTAGAAAGTTTCCTAACATCGATGTGAAGGGTATTCAACCGATCACCAATCTCCGCAACGAGATCATTAAATCCCTGTCATTATATTATTACACTTTCGTTGATTTACTTGACTTCAAGGATAACGTCTGCGAACTCCTAACTACAATGGATGCCTGTGGAGTTCATATGGACATTACAATTAATTTCGATTTAACGAAAGGCTACTTGGACCTGGTCGTCACGTATGTCAGTTTAATGATACTTCTGTCACAAGTGGAAGATCGCAAAGCCGTGTTGGGTTTATTTAACGCTGCCCATGAGCTAGTGCACAGTCAATCCGATCCCAGTTTCCCTCGTTTAGGACAGATGATAATGGATTACGATGCGCCATTGAAAAAGCTCTCGGAAGAATTTGTTCCTCATGCCAAATTGTTGAAAACTGCTCTCACTTCGTTGTGGCCTATTTATCCAGAGAGGAACATGTCTGCGGATACATGGAGAGCTGATCAAAAGCTCAGCCTCGTCGGTAGCCCTGGACAGATACTTAAAGCAGCAGCGACTGACACAATGTCCTGCGAAACTTTGAGTTTAGATAGAATAGAGAGATGGATCATTCTGGGCTTCACGTTGTGCCACACTTTCTTAAACCAAGAACAGCCCAGTAAACTGTGGACCACAGCTTTGGAATCGGGCTGGGTCCTGGCTTTATTCAGAGACGAAGTCATTTACATACATCAGTACATACAGACATTTTTTGAAAGTATAAAAGGGTATAGTAAAAGAGTATCAGAAGTGAAAGAATGTTATAGCCAAGCGGTGCAGAAAGCTGGTTACAAACATAGGGAGAGAAGAAAATTCTTAAGGACGGCATTGAAAGAACTGGGTTTAATATTGACCGACCAACCTGGCCTTTTGGGCCCAAAAGCGCTTTTAGTTTTAATGGGACTTTCTCACGCGAGGGACGAAGTACTGTGGCTTCTACGACACGGCGTGAATCCTCCGACGCAGGGAAAGAGTAAAGGAAGAGGAGGAGAGGATCTAGTAGATCGTCAATTGCCAGAATTATTGTTTCACTGCGAAGAATTGAGAGCATTGGTGAAAAAGTATTCCCAAGTGCTTCAAAGGTATTACGTACAGTTTTTGTCAGGGTTCGATGCGCCCGCTTTGGATCAAATGATACAAAACCTCCCGGTTTGCCCAGAGGACGAAGGTGCGATTCTCAGCGATATGTGTTCAAAGATAGCCAGCCTGACAGTAAAACAAGTCGAAGAGAACGAACTGTTCGATTTCCGTGCGTTCAGGCTGGATTGGTTCAGATTACAGGCGTACATGTCTATCACTAAATGTAATATGAATTTAGCTGATAATAGAGAGTTAGCGTCGTTCATGGACACCGTAGTATTTCATACAAAAATGGTAGATAATCTGGACGAGATGTTGGTCGAAACGTCCGACCTATCTATCTTCTGTTTCTACAGCAAAGTGTTTGAGGATCAATTTCACATGTGCTTAGAATTTCCAGCTCAGAACAGATACATCGTCGCGTTTCCATTAATATGTAGCCACTTTCAAAGTTGTACGCATGAACTCTGCCCGGAAGAACGTCATCATATACGCGAGAGAAGTCTGTCCGTTGTGAACATGTTTCTCGATGAAATGGCCAAAGAAGCGAAAAATATTATTACGACTATCTGTGATGAACAGTGTAACATGAGCGACAAACTGTTACCGAAACACTGTGCGTTATTGATATCCCAAGTTGTAAATCGAAAGAAAAAGGATAAGAATAAGAAAAACATGTACGAGATTCAAAAGCCTGGTATAGAAAGTTACAGGAAAACCAGAGAGGAATTAACAACGATGGATAAACTGCATATGGCATTGACGGAGCTGTGTTATGCTATTAATTATTGTCCGACGATTAACGTGTGGGAGTACACTTTCGCGCCAAGGGAGTATTTGCATCAGCATTTGGAATCGAGATTTGCCAGAGCACTTGTCGGCATGGTCATGTACAATCCGGATACTAACGAAATAGCGAAACCGTCGGAACTCTTCGTCAGCGTCAGATCTTACATGAACGTTCTCCAAACGGTCGAGAATTACGTGCACATAGATATCACGCGCGTGTTTAATAACGCGCTTCTTCAACAGACCCAAGAATTGGACAGTCACGGTGACAAAACCATCGCCGCTCTGTACACGCAGTGGTACTCGGACGTCCTGTTAAGACGAGTCAGCACGGGAAATATTTGTTACTCGAGCAATCAACGAGCGTTCGTCAGCTTGTCGGCGGAAGGAGCGATACCCTTTAATGCGGAGGAATTCTCGGACATCAACGAGCTGAGAGCGTTAGCTGAATTGATCGGACCGTACGGTATGAAGATGTTAAATGAAAATTTGATGTGGCACATAGCCAGTCAAGTGCAGCAACTGAAGAAGTTAGTCGCCGGGAACAAAGACGTCCTCATCGCGTTGAGAACGTATTTCGATAAACCAGAAATTATGAAGGAACAGTTCAAAAAGTTGCAGCAGGTGGACAACGTGCTGCAACGAGTTACGATTATAGGCGTGATCCTGAGCTTCAGACAATTGGCACAATCCGCGTTGGTCGACGTGTTGGAAGAACGCATACCGTTCCTTTTGAGCTCGATTCTAGATTTTCGACATCACTTACCATCCGGCGATCCCATGCGCGTGGTTTCAGAGATGACCTCGGCAGCCGGTTTATCTTGCAAAGTCGACCCGACGCTGACAACAGCGCTTAGAAGCCAAAAATCCGAGGTCGACGAGGATGAACATTCACTCGTCTGTCTATTAATGGTTTTTGTGGCTGTCTCTATTCCGAAATTGGCTCGAAACGAGAACTCCTTTTATAGAGCGTCTTTGGAGGGTCATTCTAATAACATACATTGCATGGCGACGGCAATAAATAATATCTTCGGTGCGTTATTCACTATCTGCGGACAAAACGATATAGAGGATCGAATGAAAGAGTTTCTTGCCTTGGCGTCGTCCAGCTTGCTGAGACTGGGTCAGGAGGCGGACAAAGACGCGATCAGAAACAGGGAATCTGTGTATCTGTTGTTGGATCAAATAGTCCAAGAATCGCCGTTTTTAACGATGGACCTGCTAGAAAGCTGCTTCCCGTATGCACTGATACGTAATGCATATCACGATGTGTACAAGCTTGAACACTCGCAGCCGTAAAGTCGTCGACCGAAAAATTTCTATCTCTAGTTTGTCACTCAGGGTCGCCCTTTTTTACGTCCATTATATCGAATACGGAATCAAATCATTTTATTGACTGTTTCTAGCGAAAAGGAAACTATGAAAGTGGCGGAACATTCTACTTGCAATACGTATGATTAATTCCATTCAGTTCTATGAACGAATTAAATTCGAGGTACAAGTCTGTTTCGAGATGTATTTAAAATACCCGGAAAAAGAAGACAAGATATTGTTAATTTATTTAAAATAATGCATTTCGTATAGGAACCGTAACTCATACTTCATATTTGATACCTGGCATGGAACATCTGATAATAAACAATAACAGGTTTTTCAGTATTCTACTATGCATTATCTCTGTATGTAAAGAATGTTTTATATCGCAGGTAAATCGTAAGAAACTCCTCCAGATCGAAATACACGTATCGTAAAATAGGCATCATCCAGTCTGCTACATTTTCTAATATACAATTGTAACTTTTACAATAGTTTATAAAATAAATAAAAGTATCTATAAATTGAGTCTTTTTATTACAGCCACTTACGTCCACTGCTTCTGAATAAAAAGATTTCTATTTTCATTCATCCTCTTTATACGTTACGTTTATTTTTAGATTTATGCTAACTTTATACAGGGGGTATATCGCGTTATTCTCGTGAGGGTATAAAAAAAAATTATAAATTAAAAATCATTTGGCGAACACAGCCGCGTAAATGTAAAATGTATGCTTTATTTAGTTCTTTACAATGTTTTTGTTTCTTCTTTAATCACATTAACATAACACAAGATATTCACAATCAGATTCCTTTTTATTTATAATATTCTTAAAACACTCGCCGCGTTCTAAACATTTGGGAAAAAGAGAGAGTGGTGGTCTGAAGCTGCGTTCAGGCGATTGGTCAGTATCATGCTTAATAAAAAAAGAAACTTATGTATGTAAAACAGGAGTTTCAATCCGAACGTAGAATTCAAAATTGATAGTACGAAAGGAAAAATGAAGACACTACGGCACATGGAACTTAACGGCAATGATGATTTTTACGATAATAATAATAATAATCCAAGCGGTACTTCGCTTGATGAACTGAGACGATTTTTGTGATACATACTATTTCAGCTAAATGAAATTGGAACGGATACGAATTTTCTTAAAAGACGTAGGTAAAACTAATATCGGTTTGCACGATGTTGATAGGTCACCACATTTTTGGATCGATAGAAAAAATATAATCTTCGATTTCTTTTTGTTTCTTTCTTACTAACATTATGTACAAGTGATAAAGTAGTGTGTGCATTGCGTCACGGTGACGCAGGTCTGGATTAAGAAAGGTACTTCGAATATACGCTGATTCTGCGAACGTTCCATCATCTCTCCTTCACTCGAAGCGTTTGCTCTGTGCCATGGAGATTACGTTTATCACAAATAAAGTGCAGCGGAAACGCACAATTACCGAATAGACAAGTAATACAACAGTTTATAGGACTCGATCTTAATCCAGACAGCGCAGAAACGAATAAGCTTAAGCATACGTAGTACAGACTTTTCAGGGACAAAATTATAAGTGAAATCGTATTTTTGCTCTTTTCATTTTTAATCGTTATGCTCCTTTCGTATGTGCAAGCGACGTTCTCGCTTGGCAACTAGATATTAGAACTTGGCCCGATTCCACGCTCGTCTTAGGCTTCTTCGCTTTTAAACGATGTTACTATGCTCCTCGGGTTTTTTTTTTCTTTTAATCTTTGATCGTGTAGTCAGTCGTTTGAACCGTCCTTATGGCAGTGAAATGGAAGCGAGAATAATTATAATAATGATATTCAAAACGCGATCGACTCGTCTAAGCAACTCGACTAAAAATCTGTTCTATTCGTCGTATAATATTGCTGTTCCAATGACAGTCGAATGGCAGTTCTGAATTTCACAGAAATTTAATAATATCATATCAAAATATTTTTTAATAAATCGGAATTCACTGCTATCGATATAATAATGGAAATAATAATGTCCTGTTACTTCTAATACCGTCATCATTCATATGTATGGCTTTCCCTCTCGCTACGACACGAATGGCAGTAAATTGTGCTCGTCAAGCACCATGAAGTATTCGTTATCGAATGTAAGAACAATGGAAATAAAATAGTACAACGATCGGACGAGCGGTTACGAATGGGACCAAACGGAATTCCGTTGCACCTATATGCAAGAAACTTGAAAACTCCTTAGATAATTATAATCTACACCGAGCGATCCGTTTTCGGTCCACGCTGGATCGTCGTTTAAAAGTCGTCACCTTATAAAGCTAAGGACTCGATTACACGCACTTACAGGCATTCGTCCGTCATCCTTGTTAACTTCCGTTCTGATTACAAAATACAGAATAATATTTCACTATAATACAGATTTGATATAAAAACAAGTATTTTTTTTTTGTATTCGCTTTACCATTTGTTATGGTTATATAATTATCGTTCATGTATATATATATATATATATTTATATATATATAATATCAATATATGTACACAGTTTAACACTCTCTCTTTGAATTCTTGCACGCCCGTTCTCACGTTTCGTTACCCATTTTTTTTTTTTTCTTGTCGCTCACTTTTACACCTGTACCAAATTTCTTTCGTCTCTCACATCAGCTCTCGCATGATCCACTTCTTATAATCACATTGCAACTATTGTACATTTTCACACGATCCGCAAACTCGTATTTATCTGCGATTATTGGCAGACACCTCCTTGATTTTACCTCTTCATCTCTACAAAACATTCCCCTCTGCCTTGCGCGACTACAGATTTGTAACTGTTAAACTTCTGGGATATCATCGTCTAAACGGAATTCTACGTAACTGTTAGCGCGGAAACTAGCTGCCGTAAACGCTGAACAGTACACACCGACATCATCGTAAGATGTAGAACGAGAAGAAATAGAAAATACGTTTGATTCTCAAAAAGCTACAGTTAACGGGTGTGATGAACAACTTGGAAGGGGAAGAAAAAATGTTCGTTTGGATTTTAGCAACGGCGATGGGTCCTCAGATCTCCGATTTTCAGATCGAGATGTGCAGGAAGTAATTCGGGCAACAAGCGGCCTCGACAAGGGGGGCGAGTAAAAAAATTCAGTCGGTCACACGTTTTGGCGTTTCGAGAAAGGAAGTGTATAATATCGCGTAAGATCTCAGTTCAATGACCCCATCGTTTTGGGCGATTATAAATTTTTCATTTTCCTCCTTTGCGGCATACGAGTATGCAGCGGTGCGCGAATATGCTGCTTGAGCCTATGTATATTAAAACATGTTCGTATTTTAAGAGGAGGGCTCGTCTTTGGTCCGCTATGCGCTATCGTTAAAGCGCGTTTACGGTACAGCCCCCGATAATTGCGATTTAAAAATCATATTTAAATATAATTTATAACATTCGCGACAGCGGAGATAAATTATACTCTGCAATAGATAACTAAATAATAATAGTCGTACTACTACTAATAATAATTATTACAATAATAATAAGCATAATCATAATAATAGAATCGCGACATTGTTCGATATCGCCCTCACTGGGGCAATCGTTATTTCAAATATCACTTTATAAAAAAATTGTTCTTCTTTTTTTGTTACTTTTCTCCCATTGTTTATACTCTCTCGTAACTTTGCGTTTCAATTCGCTAATAAAAATTAGTATAAGAATATCATTATTATGCTACAATGGTAGAGATCAAGTGATCAAGTGATGTAATAGTTTGGTAATATGGTAAACGCGCTTTTCGCTTCAGAAAGCTGCAGTAGTATCGATACCTTTGCTTTTTTCCAAAAATTTAAACCATGGAATACTTATAGACTACAATTAAAAGCATGAGAATAGAGAACTACTCGTTATCAAATAAAGATCGAATATCTTCACTGAAGAATCTTGTTATGGTAAAACAACGAATCGTAACAGTCATTCGCTAGAGCGAAAGCGAACAAGGCAGGCTCAGCGGGAGCTGTTCAAAAATTACGGTTATCATCCTAACACTTATTCCAAATATATATTGTCGTCTCCGTTCTCCCGCCGAACTTCCCTTCTTCCTCTAACCGACAGTTTCAAACGTAATAAAATCGCGCTTTCCAAAGCGAAACACCAGGAGATTCGATTTCACCGAGAAATCGAGGCGCAAAACACTCCTACGCAACCGTTGGCCATAAATGTTCTCATATCGAACGACAAAAATCCGTTGCGTTCAATATTGCCTTAATAATTCTTTACCGCGCGCGAATCCAGCATCGTTCGCAGAAATAAATCTTCGTAACGTCGATCATTCGATGCACGTTTTATATTAAAAGTGTTCACGGAGGGAGACATTCTTTTTTTGTTTTCTTTACCGAAAGTCTTCTAATTTCTTACACGGGACGCGAAAAATATGTATTTAATGGCAACACGGAGGAAACTGCAGGAAACATTTAAAAAGACGAATTAGACGTTAAGACCCACGTATCTTATAGTCTTTCATCAAATAATCGCGATGCGTAAGTTCACGCGATTTATCACGTGTGTCTCTAACACCGTTTCGTTTCGTTTCGTTTCTAAAAACGTCGATGTCCTCGTACGTTTTGTTCTTCGCTGAACGGAATCAGCCCGACAAAAGCCAAACGTCAAACGAGAAGTCGATATTAATATCATCGTTCATCATTACAATATATAATACACTTCACCAAATTTACAAACCCCGAACCAGTATACTCCCTGTGATGTACCCCTGTGATGGTCTTTGTTGACTTACTTGAATCGAAATAAAAACGTAGATCAGCGATCGTCAGTTACTTTCAATTACATTAGATCACGCCTGTCCCTCCTCTTGCTCTCAATTATCGTCGATCTTCGTTCGTGAGAGACAACATTTATATGTATATTATTTCCTGGGTGGACCGGCTCGTTTCACAGTTTAGCAAATTAAACAAGAGAACAATTTATGACGGGACGTCGAGACCGTTCCTAGTTCGCGGTGGTTCTCTAGGTGCGTCACACCTTGTGATGTCTCATCTCGTAGGCTGTGGGCCTACCGCCTCCCCCGGAGCCCGAATAGGCGCCGGCGTACAATTCGGGATGGTTGGTCCGGCCGTAATTGGGAGCTGCGCTGCTACTGGGTGGCGCACTAGCTGTGGGAACCGAGCGATAGCCTGCTTAAGGTTTAGAAAAAAGTATTCCACTATGAAACGAAATAATCGAAGCGAACGAAACGACAAATTTGTACCGGGGTAGTGGGTTGATCACTGCTGGTACCAAGAAATCGCAAACGAAGAGTTAAATGAAAACGAATGATGATGTTACGACTGTACACATGCAATTGTGTCTCTTAAGTAAAGATACTTCTACCGAATTCCTCTGGTGATTACTCTAATCATCCAAAAGCGATCGAAATAAATGCGAACGATGCGAAAGCAAAACAGAAAGTATGCGTTATCCCATTATTAATGATCAGAGGTATTAATGATAGCTTCTATTAAAATGGTATGCGAAGAAAAGTAGGAGCAAATACAAGAACTCGCGAGAAATTGTTAACTGCAGCACGTCGAGACTTCGGCTGAGAAGTCTGCTGGAGCCTGCTGATTATTTTGCTCTTTTCATATATTTCTTTAATCACTTGTTTATTCGTGAATTTGCTCCTAGCAAGGCTATAGATTATTAGGCCCCAGCTCACCTCTGTAGGTCATAGAACGATAGTATCAGGTAGTGATGCGCGTCAATCAATGCGAGGAAGATGCAAACAGGAAAAAACATTGATGTAGTTGCGGATCACACAAAGACGGATACGTAACAGCAAGCTTCTTAGCTTGAGTTTAATCCATACATTGACCGTTCGAAAGCTTCCTTTGCTTGGTATATTTTTAACGAGTAATATTTCTTAGGATCAAACTCGAGCAAGGACAGCTGTGTTGAAAAGCGATCGAGTTATCACGTAGATTTACCTTTTGGATAATACTGAGCACCTCTACCCTCTCCATAGCCATGGGAGGGACCCCGAGTACCACCGTGGGCACCTTGACTTGGCCTGGGAGGTATACTTCGGGGACCAGCACCACCTCCGCCATGCGGATGTCGCTATAAAATATCAAGTTTTATTTAGAAACAATTAAATTAAACTTTTATTATTTGTTCATTTTATTATACGTACCATTCTTCTTAAAGTATTCATTGGTCTTCTTAGAGTATCACTGATACGTCTTGCTGGCGGTTTCTTCGGATTACTCGAAGGTGTGTGAACAGCGCAGCATTTGATGAACAGACCCATGAAGATGATGAAGGCTATTCCCATTAACAGCACTGCCCACCAAAATTCCTGAAAAATATATATTGAATTTATTCATGTTGAATATCCAAACATCGATTTATTACAGGTATACTTACAGTCACCCACTGCGCTACCGTCAGTAGTGTTTCCTTATTGAATAAGAGATTCTTCAATCTGGCTAACGGTCCTTCCGCGTCAACTGCTCTGCATTTCAGAAATACATCGCAATACCCCTAAGAAAATATTAAATTTTTATATACTGTATATACATTTATTAAGTTTAACTTTGAGAAAAACGATCTTACTTGAAAGTTATCACACGGTGATCCAGGTCGGAGGCTGATCCCGCCATCGGGCAGACCCACAACGTGTGCGAACTCGCTGGTACTACGACAGGACGCGGGATCGGTTCCATTTTGACAGGCTAATTCGCATAATTTACGTTTGTCTATGTTGGGGATCACGTTACTGGTTAAGAAGCATTCAGTCAGATTCCATTCTAGGCAAATCGATCCTGTACACTCTCCATTGATGCATAGCTGAGAATGAAAATATAATTTTTGTATGGCTGTGAGGAACGAACTTCGAGTAGAGTCTTCGTAGAAATAACAGAAAGTTCTTTACCTGTGTTCCTTCGTTACATCTGGTCTTGTTAGCTCTCGGTAGCGGTACGGGACACTCAGAAGATCGTCCGTTGCACGTCGAATTATAACTGCAGTCGGATTCTGCCTTACATTGAACGTTCTTGGAAAGCGGCACGAACTGACAAGACTCACTGGAGCAGCAAGGTCCTTGACTGGGACTGTAAAAGAAATTGTAGTTCCAACAAATAAATAAAAAACGAATTTTTCGTTATGGAACAGCTTTGCATTACAAATGTGTACACTGAAATGCATACCTGCATTGCGTTCCGGATTTTCTGGTACAACCCTTCGCCGTTTCATTCTTTATTTTGTCTAATTCTGAGACTTGCCGAGGATAGCAACATTTATCCACACACTCGTCATCGTCGTATCCACAATCGCACTCCTCTCCAGCTTCAACGATCTTGTTGCCACAGAACGCTCCGGCAGAGGCTGCGTAAAAACGAAATGAAAATCAGAATGGAATTCCATTTCAATCACGATAAAAATATTTTGACAAATTACCAGTGAAGCAATTTCTTTTCTTGTTGTCTTCGATGGCATCGAGAACGTTGCTGATATTACCGATGCTGCACTTTGAAAATTTGCTATTATTCGGTCGATCTCCGCTGGTCGCTGACGCGAACATTATATAATTTCCGTGCAGTCCTCCGGGTCTACACTCCGGTGGAAAATCATGCTGAAAATCACAAATTTAAATTGCATGCGCGAACAGATTCTGATAAAACTGCAGAAATTTATTTCAAATAAATGCTCACGGGTGATCCGAAATTGTGTCCTATTTCGTGGGCCAGCGTTAGCTGCGACACCTTCGGCGGTACTCGGCTGTTGTAATTAACGAAAGTAATGATCCCGGTGTTCAACGATCTTTTGGTCGACTGGTACATTCCCGCGACCGTTTCCGTGTACGTTTTGTATTTTTCGCAAATACCGCCAGACGCGCCGGACGCAGAAGCCACCCAAGCAAGACCAAGAGTGCCGCCGGTAAAATCTCTGTTAATAATACAAACCAGTGAGATTCGCATTCGCGTACACGCGCACCCTAGCACGCAACCGTTTGACATACATATTTAAAAAGAAGGCTCGTACCTGTACGTGAACACGTAGGCGAGGCAAAAGTCCTCGTGGTTACCGAGCGAATGCAAATTTAAAAAGTTGCTAACGTCAATGTTCTCCATGCAAAACGGATTCGGATCGCCGTAAGTCTGTTGGGGTGTGCACGCCGTGTCGTCGTCGATCTGCGAAACGGAATGCGTTTAAATTACATATCCGTGCCCGAGCGGCAACCGACGTACGAAATTAATCAGTAATTTAATCACCTTTATCCGCTGCACCTCGAATTTAATATTTCTGTGCTTGATTCTACCGTCGAACCTCGTGTCCCTGTAGATGTAGTTCACCGCCGTAACATGATGCGCGATCAGAGACAGGATCTCCTCTTTGGTTTTCTCCGCATCGTTATGCAGCTATAGAAGCAGAATCGAAAAATGAGACATTCAATATTTGCAAGTGCTCATACAGTTTTTTTTTTTTTTAACGGGAATAGAGAGAAATGTTCGACTAAAGCAAATACACCGATGCGATGCAGAGATGAAAACTCGAGAGTCATGCAACGAGTTAGTTCACATTTCAATTAGATTTAATTCAGAGAAATTCAACTAGACGATGCATAAGGTAGGAAATTTGAAATTAGGTCCGTAAATAATTTACCTGTTCCGATATGTGTCTCCATATTAGCGGATCGGTTTGGATGAAGAGGGAACAAGTGTTTTTATTGTCCTCCTTCGGTCTCGTCGCTCTCCGCGTTCTCCGATGACTAGGTTCGTTAGCTTCTCGAGAATATTTGTGACCTGGCGACTCCGGGTCACCGTTCCACGGTTTCACCTGCGGCTTGAATTTCTTGTTATCCGCAGTTACCGGAAGAGGTACCTCCGGTTCAACGGAATTTTGTATTCTCTCCATCCACTCCACAACGTCGTCGGTGATCCCGCAACCGCCCTCGCCTTCGAAAGGGAATTAAACATTGATAAAGCGACCGTGGATACAGCTGGAACCGTGCAGTCGTACCGCGAGTGAAATTTTAAATATTTTAATGGGTTCGCGGGCGCAATTTAACTCCCAACGAAAATGAGTTTATTTTTCATTCGCTCAACTACGGTTCAACTCTCGCGTAAATAGCTTGTAATTTTATAAATCATCCCGCTGGCGAATAATATTTCATGTTTTCGCGTTTTTCCCGAACAAATTATTCCGTTCACTTTTTAACTTTCGATTAGCCAACAGGGTCTCGCTTCAACTTTTTACACGATAAATTTACGAGACCATAAAAAAATGTGTGTCTTTCGCATAAAACCTAGCGCGTCGATCTCGAATCCCCGAAGCTACCGTTCGAAGAAGAGCTACGCTCGGGGACGAACTTTCCCGTTAAGGATCGTTCCAGGCGAAAACATGAAAGTCCGCGGGCTACAAAGGAATTCGAATTTTATATCGCTGGTGTTTTCGATGGAAAAGAGCTACACGTATGAAGAAGCTGCATAGTTCTATCGAGGCTTAGAGGGTTGTTTCGAGCAACAGTTTCAAAGAAACTCGAGCTTGCTCTCCCGTAAGAAGTTCGAACAGGCGCAATCCGTGTAAGTAAGGCAAACACCCCCCGATCCGGGGGCGGGGTTCGAGTGTCTACGTCGCTGGAACGAACGGTGAACGCCGTGAACCAGCGAAGTTTAAAACGCGTCGCAGCGGAAGTTTCCAATGCGCAGTTTAATTATTCACCTAATACCGAAATGCCTGCTGTGTAGCTTGTTTGTGTGTCTGTAAAGCGGATGCGTGAGCGGACATAATGCGCTACGTAATGACAAACTTAACCGCTTCCCCTTGGGTGTCGTATCGTCCGTAACGACGACGCTATTATTTTGAGGACGTGGTCACCCACGAGTAGGTACGTATGGGTGTGAAATCATGCTTCCTGTTTCACGGTGCCCCGGTCGACAGAGTCTCCGACCGGCAGCAAACCGGGTGAGTGAACCGCGAACACGATATTCTATCATTTTTTCACGAGCCGAGATTTCAGGTTCGATTATTAATTCAAATGTCGAAACAATGTGTCTTTTACATCGTTCGTTCTTTGCACAGAGAAAATATAAAAACGTTCGCCTATTTTTTT